TCCCGCCAGCTCTGCTTCCCGCCTTGCCCCCCTCCAGGCCAGTCTCTGCCCCCCCACCCCCCGCCCATGATCAAGTGTGTCTGGTTTTTTGGCGGGGTCTACCTGGAAACCCTTCTTATACTTCACTGGTGTGTGTGTGAGAAAGAGAGAGACTGTGCAAAGTTCTCCACACCACTTAAGCTCATCATTAAAGAGACAAACCCTCCTTGATATCTAGAGAGACTCCCCTTTTTGCATCTTACCCACTGAAGTTCCATTGCGTGCAGGATGTGGATGGGGAGGAACCACATATGGGGTAACAGCCTAGCATAACAGCACCTGGCATACGGGGCCTACACATGGGTGACATGGGGTTAGGAATTAACACTGCATAAACCCTCCATTATTCTTCCTCCTGGCAAAAGAGTTACAGTATCCTACCGGACAGTCTGGTATTTGAGCCCTCTGCCCGGTAAAAAAAATCAGACAATATTGGACACGTGCAGTGTCCGGTATTCTCTGATTTTTCCAGCTGGGCACCGGATGGAAGCCTGACATGGGCAGCCCCGCCCCCGCCAGGCTTCTGCACAATCACAGGCTCCCAGTGCGGATCATGGCCCCGCCTTCCAGCTGGGAGATGGGGCCAGGATCGTCACTGAGAGCCTGTGAGTCCCAGCTGAGACACGGGGCCGTGATCACCAGTCTGTGCCCATCAGAAGGGGCGGGGGGGGAATGGCTGGGAGAGGCATTACTTATCCTGCACTCCTTTTTTACTCCACACACCTCCCATCTCCTTCCTCTGACTCCTACACCCCTACTGAGCCACCAGAAGGCCCCAAGCAATACCAGGTAAATATTCCAGTAATAAAATAAAACCACACACCTCCCATCTCCTTCCTCTGATTCCTACACCCCTACTGAGCCACCACAAGGCCCCAAGCAATACCAGGTAAATCTTCCAGTAATAAAATAAAGCAACCAGATTTTCTGCCTATTTTTATGGTCACCATAAACTGATTGAAGGTGGCATAAAATTGCATAAAAAATCCAAACTAAAAAATGTTAAGGTTGTGAATTCTAGGACTCAAAATTCAGGAAATGCAAAAATGCAATTCCTGCCCTGCCCTCAAGGGATAGAAAATTCCAGAATTTAAGGGTCCTCCTATAAATATAACTCTGCTGCTTCTGCAGATGCATTATGATGAAGTTTTAAATGACATAGTACTTCACATACTACTGACGAAGTGGGTCTTTGCCTACGAAAGCTTATGCTCCTACACTGCAGTTAGTCTATAAGGTGCCACAGGACTCCTTGCTACTTTTTCACAGAATCACTGCCATATTCATTGCACACAAAAAAATCCACGGGGGAGGGGGAGATTAAGATTGCATGGGCAACCTTGAATTTCTGCATTTCCTAAATTTTGAGTCCCAGAATTCACAACCCTAAAGTTTTTTAACTTGGATTTTTTTATGCAATTTTAAATGCAAGCAAGCATATATGCATCTATATGAACACAGGGATCTGATTTACAAATCCGTTCAAAACATAGTTTAGGAACGTTATGCTGTAAAGCTCAAGCAATATATAATTTAGTCTTTGTGTTTTAGAGAAATCTATGAACTTGGGTTTGCCAGGCACGTTCAGAAATCTAAAGCTGTGCCACAGAAGCAAAGCATAAACAGATCAACCATCAAATGTTGTTAACCTTCCAGGAAAAACACACATTTATCATGTCTTTTCGGCCTGAATTATAGAATAAGCTGTTTTCCTGCTATTATATTTTTTTTTCTCTGGCAGGGTAGTTAAATGTTTGCATTGGGTTTTGGATTCAGAATTCCCCAGCAGTTTATTCCACTCTGCTTCCCTCCCAAAGTCACCCCCTTCCACCTCTGGGGAATAAAAAATAAAAATTAAGAAAAAGGAAGTAAAATCTGGCTAAATCTGAAATTCTTTACTTTATCAACTGAATACTCTCAACAGTTTTACAGGGTTTTATGGCACATTACCTCACTGTATCTCTATAAAAAAAAAACCTAGCTTCTACTGATTTTAATTACAAAAATGTATCACCTGTATAAGTATGGTAATTATGTAAAGAACATATTTCTTTATTACTATGATTCATTTCTTCTACAGTACAAAACCAGAAAAAGTAGTGGCAAATTAATAATTGCTAATTCAACTGCTAAAGCTCTTTGAAGATGAAAAACGCTTCATGAGAACTAAGCATGTGTTGTTTGAATTGTTGTCTAGATCCCTTTTCAGATAATTTTAGTTTAAATTATCACCAGACGCAAGTAGTTTTTACTAAGGTCTATCTATACTTTTTACAAGATTTAGGTTTCATTGCTATCATGTATATTAATAGAATTCAGTAACACAAAATACACCGTGATGGTAAAGAGGATGTTTGTTTACAGAAACGCAGAAATAGCAGCTGCTGCCATGCTATTTTCTGAACTGCACTTCTCTTTTTCTTCACTCAAAAAAAGGAGATAAGGGCATTTCTGGAAGTATATGGAGTAAATGTCTGCATACTTATTCCCTTGGAGGAGACAACAAAGATGCTAGCCAAACAAAAACCTATGAGCCTACAGGTGTAAACTGTAATATTTCTGATATGGAGAAGAAAGGTTAGAGGTCTGCTTGAATTTTTAAACCTGTTATCACTTCACTTCTGACCACAGCAATCTTTAAGGGTATGTCTACACTGTTCAGCTATTTTGGAGGGATCCCAGAATAGCTACCCTGCATCTTAAGAAGCCTCCCATTGCTTCGAAATATTTTTCAAAATAACAGGCGCGTTAATTTGGTTCCGTGAGTGTTAAGGGATGTCTCAAAATAGCACATTATTTTGAAATTTGGCACTGTGTAGACGTGCCAAATTTCAAATACAGGCAGTCCCCGAGTTACTTCAGCTATTTTGGAGGGATCCCAGAATAGCTACCCTGCATCTTAAGAAGCCTCCCATTGCTTCGAAATATTTTTCAAAATAACAGGCGCGTTAATTTGGTTCCGTGAGTGTTAAGGGATGTCTCAAAATAGCACATTATTTTGAAATTTGGCACTGTGTAGACGTGCCAAATTTCAAATACAGGCAGTCCCCGAGTTACACAGATCCGACTTATGTCGGATCTGCACTTACGAACGGGGCTCTCTCGCCCCGGAGCTCGCAGGCAGCGGGACCGCCCAGAGCGCAGCGGTCTCACCACCTCGACCTCCGGGGCGAGAAAAGCTGCTCCGGGTGCCCCTGGTCTGCTGGGGACCGTCTCCAGCAGACCAGGGACACGGGGAGCAAAGCCGCAGCAGCGGCAGGGTCCCGCGCCTCTGAGGCTTTGCCAGAGCAAAGCCTCAGAGACGCGGCACCCCGCTGCCGCTGCGGCTTTGCTCCCCGTGTCCCTGGTCTGCTGGGGGGGGGGGGGGGACGT